CCCTTATTGATGGAGATGGATCTAAAAAGTGAAAGGCATCCACTGGTCAATTAAAGGGTTGATTTTATAAAGATGGTCAGCGTGATCTACCTGATAAGTCTTGATATTGAAAAGTAGTCAAATAATGTAGATTGTTTCTAAAAGTCTTAAATAATGGGTTCTCCTCTTCATCTTACAAAGCCGACGCGAGTGTTTCCCAGGAATTGATTTTGGTGACTTCCTTTCTTACACAATAAATCAGATGACAGCACTTTACATGCAGGCATTCAGGGTATCAGATGGATGCTTGCGGTTGAGCTGAAGATGAAAAAATACCAATTTATCTGTGATGAAAAGTTTGGAAATTTTTCCATTGAAGTATTTTAAAACGTATGCATTTTGAACTTTCATCATTTTTCTTTTTATTTCAGAATTTGATTGTCGTTTAAAAGCCACCGTTCATAATTTTGGCATTCTTCTTCGAAATTCAAACATTTTATATTATTTAAGCTCAAGTATTTTTTATGAGTGCATATTTGCAATACGTTTTACTTCAAATTGATAATAAAACCCATCAAGACACCAAACATATAAAAATAAAAGTGTCACTGTAGTGGAGTGGACTCACATTAAGAATAAAAGTTGAAGAATCATTATGATTGTTTAGATTCAAATCTTGTCTGTAATTTGAGCGAAGTAGACCAACACTTTTATTTTTATACACTGAAAACCAAATACATCTGACGTCGTAATGTGTAGCTGAGAGAAGCGCGAGAAGCGTGCAATACGTTAGAAAGAGATATAAGCACCTCATTGCCTAGCAAATTTTTGAACAAAAATTGAAAACCTATCTTTTAAGCAACAATAAAGTACTAACAAAGAAAACTGTTAATGAAAGTTAAAAATATATATGTTCTAAAATATTTAAAAACACAAAATTTCATAGATGCGATCGACTTGAAATGTGAGCTATTTTCAGGACTGTAAACTCCGCTTATAGATCTTGATCATTTGGTATGCTTAATGGATTCAAAAGACAGCACTATAACTTAACAGATAAAAGCACCTTATTACATACGTACCAGTTTTGCTTTGGCAAAAACCCGTCTCGCCAATCGCAGCAGTTGCTACCAAAAATACTTTGTCTGTATTTTTTGGACAGGAGAAAACTTTTATAGAAGAGGTGCCACGAATAGTGATTTAACCGAATACCAAATATTCCGCCAAGCTCTTTACCGAAGCACCGAACTTCCGCCTCCGAATATTCGGAGCTTATTTCCATCACTAGTAGAAAAGCAGTTTACTCATGGCATCCAGTATGATGTAGATAATTATGTCAATGTCATTTGGATGCCAGGCTTCATTTAAAGACGCTATCATTTAAAAAATGAACTCAGCAACTGAATATAATTGCGATTCGAATCTGCGTCCACTGTGTCTGACAAATAACTATATCTTTCAGAGTTCACCTCGAACCCTCCGCTTGATATACAGTTATCCGTTGAACAAAAGAACCCCTCGCATTGAAGGGGTGTATCCTTATTGTGAAGTATGTTTGTAAAACCATACCGAAATGGGTCTATTAGCCCTGCCTAAGGCGACAAGCCGATCAGGCCCTTCAAAGCCTACTGCTGTGCGGATTTTTTCTTTTTGAATTACAGCAGCTATGCATTTGTTTGATTAGACGTGTTTACATTGGAATAGAAGATGAGATATTTGAGACTGTATTGTATAGGTATATTGTAGGGGGTAGGTTTACTTGGGTATACCTTTCGATACCATTACTTATTAGGATAATTTAAAAAGTGAGATTTTCACGTTTGAGGTGCAGTATTGTGCATTAAGTACCTTGGTGGAGAACTATGTCATTATTGCCTCAGCACTTTTATATCCTCAGGCGCATAACTCCTAGAGCTGGGCCAGACGGTTCCTTTTAGTGATTCAGTTCAATGGTTTCGATTCTGATCTCGAAATCAATCGCTTGGGTTCGTTCACAGTTCCTTTTGATTCCGATGGACCCAGTTACTCAACCGGCACGGGTATTACGTATCTTGAAAACTCACATTATGTCGATTTTTTGACACTGCATTGGGTTTTTGTGACATTATGTAGGTTTTTCTACAAGATATTAACTTAGCACTTGCTGATGGACACTTGTAAACTCGTTTTGTAGTTGTACATGTGGCCTAAGCATTATGATGCTTCAGTTATCAATGTCTGGCTCTGATGGCATTACCGGAGGTCTAAGCTGTAAGTTGTATACTATAGCTAGCAGGAAATGACAGTGCTTAGGTGTATAGTGAGAATTTGTATGCTAATAATATGTGTTGATGATAATTTCATTGGATTCTTCTCTCAAATACACTTACTTGAGATTCAAAGCTAGAACTTAGTTACACATCCACTTTTTCGTATCCGTTCTGGAAATTTACTGAATTTCAAAAATGTGATAAGAAATAATTATATTCACTGTATACTGTCGAAAAACCTGTCTTCAGTAATGACAACATATAAATAACCCGTCGGGCGCAGCTAATAGATATACTTGATTGGCAGCATATTCAGTAATGATTTACTCACACAGCAAATATCACTGATTTTGTACACTTGCAAATCAATACACATAATCATCCAGTTGCGATCTTGCTATTGAACCAACTTTCTTCTCAGAGATGAACACTACAGACTACTCGGCTTCACAAAACATATGCAACCAACAATGCGTATAGTTCAGTCATTCATCTATAAATTGACGCTCACAACGATCCTAGTGAGCAATCGTGGACTGACTGTTTGCACCCTAAAGACTACCTAGTTTGCAAGATGACATTTTACAGTTTTTTTTGCGTTTTATAGGTTTTTTACATAATACCCATGCGGTACTCGATGGTTTCGGGTCTATCGGGTGTGTTTTTAACAAAATGCTTGAAATGCACGTTTTTGATCAGATTCAGATATTGCTTTTGATTTTAAAGACTCCAAATGAAGAACGATCTATAGGCTATCTGTAGTGCCAGTGGGTACATTTTTTTGTTGGCTAGTCTCGGGGATTGCAACATGAAAGGAGTTGAAATGGTGCACTGTCGATTGGGGCATTTTAATACTTTTATACAATTTCCGACGTCCTAGTGGAAATTGTCCATAAGCTGGTCCTGCACATTCTGTGACCTGTCGATAGATTTTTGGGGTAACAGTCAGCTCAATAGCAAAGACAGTTTCGCTGCCTGAAATGCTTTAGTTTGTATCACTAAACCTCTTATCACCTATTTTTGAAATCTGATCAATACTTCTGTTACTTCCTCGGTTTCATTTTCTGTGATACATTTAACAGTAATGGCAGCGTAACATGTATCCAAAAGTGCGCCGTACTAAAACACTATTTGATATCCGAATCCGAGTCATATCGTTCCTCCAAAACAGTTCGCTCAAACGCAACCCTTTTCTAAGGGTTGATATTGCATCAGCTGAACCCTTTTTCAGGAATTGGGCTCGCAACTATATGAATTGGAATCGAAATCAATGGAGTCGGAATCTAAACTATCGGAGGCGAATCCTCCTAGATGATCGGACCGACTCATTCAGGACAGACTCAGCAATAATAACGCCGAGTAGTGCTAGGCCAAGTAATTCCTTTAGAACAACAGAAAATATCGACAGTTATATTCAATAGAAAAATAAATAAATAACCCACTCGTAACTAAGTATTAGTTTGTCGTCGGCAAGAAAATATTTTTGAAAATTCCTTGTCAGCATCGCTAAATGATTTTCAGTGGTTATGAAAACAACTCTCATCCCACAACGTCAATGCGGGTAATCCCCAGGGATCAGTCTTGGCTCCGACACTGTTCCTCTAACACATTGATTCCCAAAGTGGTCTATATCGACCCCTAGGGGTCCATGACAACCTGCAAGGGTTCTACGTCAGCGAAAAAAAATTGGGGGTCCATGAAATGAATATGGGGGTCCACGATAGTGGATGTCAACACATACATTGATAGTATCTATTTACTTACATCATACTATCTTATAATATCAAAACATATACATTATTTATAAGTACCTATGAAGTAAAAAAATTATTATATATGTTTATAAAATTGTGTAAGTTGTAGAATGTTGGTATTCGCTTTGTGGTCGCAATATATTTTGAACTTGTAAAAACCTGAGAGTCGCAGTCTCAGAGCGTCGCTACCTTGCACTGACTTGTTCAATTCGTCACTCTATAAATACGAATGTGGGACAAATTACGTTTATTCGTTTCCTGAATCTTGAAAAGGAAAGTGCTAAGAAAATATTTTAAAAAATATAAACAGATAGTATATCACACAAATTATAGTGAGTCAGTGTTATTTTGTTTGAGAGTGCTGGAGAAAAGTAAGTACATTATTTTTTATTAAATTTTAGTTTTGTACTCGTAGTTAGCAAAGATAGATAAATTACGTCAATCATGACTTTAGTTATTAGTAGTTAAATATTCAATCATGCAAAATTACACGAGTACTCCTCAATAGTTTCTTTTTGAAAGTTTTAGCAATCGGTAATGTAATTACAGTGCAATCTCCGTAATTCGAGCTAATTGTTGCAAAAAGATGTTCGAATTATGGAATGTTTTCGGAAAAATCAAAAAATATCTTTAATATACAGCTGCTAGATTTTCTGTCTTATTTAAATAATTTAATTTTGCCCACAGATGACTGATGGCATGTCCGAATCTAGAAAGAAATCTAGACAGTACAGTGTTGATTATTTGAAATTTGGCTTCATTCCATCATTGCCGGACAAACAATCGCCTATGTGCCTTTTATGCAACAAAGTTTTGGGCAATGACGCTATGAAACCATCTAAACTGCAAGATCATCTGAGAAGATGCCACCCTGATAAAACAGAGAAAGATTTGAAATACTTTCAAACACTCAAAGATAAATTTCAGAAGAGACCTACACTGGACAGAATGTTCGCTTCGATGTCACAAAGAAATGATGATGGTTTGCGGGCGTCTTACATTATCTCGTTACTTATAGCAAAATCCGGAAAACCGCATACTATCGGAGAGAAGTTAATTTTGCCAGCCGTTGAAGAGGTTTTGAAAACTGTTTTACACAAACCTGCATCTGATATCATTAAAAGAATTCCATTAAGCAACAATACTGTTGAAAGACGTATTGATGAAATGAGTTCTGATATTGTAAGCTCCTTATGTAATTATTTGCAAACGACCCATTTCTCTATACAACTGGACGAGCATATGTTCGTTTTATTATGAATCAAGAAATCTACGAAGAACTGCTCTTCACAAGAACTTTGATAACAGACACTAAAGGTGAATCAATATTTCATGTTTTGAAGGATTACTTCATTGAAAAAGCAATTCCTTTATCAAATATAATATTAGTAGCTACAGATTGGAGCACCTGCCATGGTTGGACGCTATTGTGGATTTATAAGCTATTTAAAAAAAATGTGTCAGGGGTGTTAGCAATACATTGCGTCATCCATCGACAACATTTAGTTGCTAAAAATTTGAGTGTTAGATTGCATGAATCACTTCATTTAGTCATTGATGCAGTCAACCGAATCCGAGGCAATGCGTTGAATACGCGGTTATTTGCGCAGTTGTGTGAAGAAAATGACGAACACTTTCATCAATTACTCCTTCACACTGAAGTACGCTGGCTGTCGAAAGGCTTATGTTTGACAAGATTTTTTGCACTTTTTGAGACTATTTTAGAATTTCTGGATACTAAAGATAAATAATTTTTAAAAGAAAATTTAATGAAGAGGAAAACAGCCTATTTAACAGATTTGTTTACAAAATTTAATATGGTTAATTTGCAATTGCAAGGCGACAGTTTAAATTTGATTAAAACAAAGTCCATCTTATCAGCGTTTCTTGCCAGAGTTAAACTAATGAAGCAAAGTATTGGAAGAGGCAAATTTTCTCAGTTCCCCAATTTGTCACAGACAAGCTGCCAGGAAGACGACGTTTCAACTTACGTTCAACATTTAAATGCCCTCTATCCAGATTTTGAATCTAGGTTTGAGGATATTTTGACTATGGTAATACTACCGTGGATAATTAATCCATATGGTGACATAGAAGAAACGAATGTCATAATACAAGAGGAACTGACTGAACTAAGTACAAACGAAGAACTTAACGTTCAGTTTAAAAACGAATATCAGCAATTCTGGCTGCAAAACAACATACCCGTTACTTATCCCGTATTATGGAATATAGCGAAGAAATTTTTAATTTCCTTTCCATCGTCATACCTAGTGGAAAGGGGGTTCAGCGCTGTTACCAATCTCCTAACGAAAAAAAGAAACAGACTCGACATCATTAGCCGAGGAGATTTAAGATTAAGTCTCACAAAATTGACACCAAATGTTGATAACATAGTTTTTAAAGTAAGTACCGTTTTGACCTAAAAAAACAACAAGTAAATTTTGTCCAAAAATGATTTATTCACTTGAAAGGCCATACTTTACTCTACTTTTCTACTTAATTCCCATTACGCTTGAGGCATTTATCGTATCTTGGGACCAGCTTTTGTATGCCATCGTCAAAGAAGCTTGCCGCCTGAGTAAACAACCACTGCTTCACATTTTTGGCACTCAGCGTGAACACAGTTTCCGATAATTTAAACATTCGAACACAATTCGTAAAGAACACTTCTTGAGACAGCAGGAAACTGTTCAGCTGAGGACGAAATCGTGAATCGTCTGTTCTCTTTCACTTTACAGTCCACTTTTTGAATCAGGTCATCGGTAATGACTGAAGGTCTTCCTCATCTTTAAAGGCCCTAACCCATTTCCGCACCATTCCATCGCTCATAATGTTTTCACCATACACTTCACTGACTTGGTGATGAATTTCAACTGATTTGAAGCCTTGTGCACAGAGACACCGTATTACAGCACGCACTTCGCAGTCGGCGGGATTCAGAATCGGTGGAGGCATTTTAAAATCACGCAAACAGATGTAGACTCGAACGGATGGTTCGGCGTCTGTGGCTACCCAACAGATGTAGCTACACGACGCGCGTGCGCTGAACGGCGACCGCAGCGCTGCGGCGGCGTAATTTAAACACGGTACTTACTTTAAAAACACGCTATTATTAAAGCATCAAGTTCATCCTTCTCACTAAAAATATTGACTTATTGCTTATGTTATTTTATTTATAGTTTATTTTATGTTTATTGGTGTCTGACCAATAAATGCCCGCATTGGGAATAATTGTCCGCATTGATTTTTTTAAAGAACCCCCCTTTATAGAAAATATATTTTTTTCTGAAAATTCAAGGATAGGTACACACTAAAATTCGTTAATTTTTTGCCTATTTTTAGATAATTTAAACGTATAAGAAGCGAAATTTAATCAAACTAACAGTGAAATTATTGTAGAACATACGTTTATGTTATAATTAATAAACGAACTCGCTTATTGTACTATTTTAAGTAAAAAACTTTTTTATTATTTTTAACTTTTTTTTATTTTATCTCTCGTATTTTTTTTCAATGCGGGCACTTATTCCCAATGCGGGCACTTATTGGTCTGACACCTGTTCATTTAATGTTACGTATATTTTACATAACAGATACAAAATTTTATTTTGAGTAGTTTTAATTTAAATTCAATTAATAAATGTATAAATTAAAATGTGTTTTTACTACTTCAGTACAGTTAGAAATTTACAGGAAATCAATATCAGGTAAGTAGGGGGTCTACTCAACACGGAAAAACATGGCAAGGGGTCTACGACACAAAAAAGTTTGGGGAACTCTGCTCTAACATATCAACGATCTGCTTTCCTGCACGAGATGAGCTTGTTTATTGCTCTCCGTTGCCTCATCAAGCTGAATTGAAAACAACTTGTCTCGAGTAGCTGATGCTGTACATCTTCAGCTATTTCACCAATTCGACGGGCAACCGTATCATTTGATAGAGGTATGGACTCCAATTTTTTGGCAAAGCTATCTCCAAAAATACTTTCTACAATTTTAATTGCAGCTGTCACGAATAGTGTGATGCTTCTTACACTTGGCTATTTCATACGAGTATGAAACTTTATAAGAGGCAAGTAAAGCTTTTTCATTCACAGTCCAAGTTTTTTAATGATTTTTGCTTTTCGTATGATTTTAATTTTAAGTCGAAGAATTCTCGGGGTTTGTTAACGTACTCAGTAAGAAGCGTTTCCAAATGTCGTTTAAGTTTATTAGGTTTCATGTTATCTGCTAAAGTTTATGAGCAAATGATACACAGAGGCCTCTCTTCTTCGTTGACGTTAGTACATGTAAGCCCAACATTTAAGTATTCTTGAGAATATTTTCTTGATTTTATTTTTGGAACCTCTCTCGCCTGTGCACTTATTGATGCTTCACCAGAATCGAATGCTCGCCTACGCCCTCTTAAAAATTTATCCATGATTTGGTATAAATTTAAATTTACTGCTGGGGATATATACAGGGTGGACAATCCATGTGTGGACGGAATAATAATAATAATAACAACAATAATAATAATAATAATAATAATAATAATAATAATAATAATAATAATAATAATAATAATAATTACCAGACAGATACGTCTGTGGAAGAAAAAGATAATAATAATAATAATAATAATAATAATAATAATAATGTCTTTATTCCCACAAAAGAAAAAACAAAACAAGTTAAAAACCAGTGTTATATGAACATATAGTGGGAGGGGCGAAGTTCGGCATATCCGCTCTTCCACTTAAGCCCTGGTTTTAGGTTTACATCAAAATAAGATAAGCATATATAAATGAGGTAAAAAATATATATATATATATATATATATATGTATAAGCAGTATCAGCGAATGGACCCTAGCGGCTAATTTGATAAATGATACTATAAAAATACATAATGACTCCAAAGTCATACCGTGCGATTACCTGCAATGTAAATCAATAGAAAAAGAAGGATATTCTCGCGGGATATTATTATAAAGTTTACTGATATTATACGAAAAAGATCTTTCGAATAAGGTGGTAGAATGGAAAGGCTGTGTCAGTTTTTTGTTTTGTTGCGGGTATTGCGATTGTGAGCTAAGTAACGGAAATGAATTTATTCGTGTAAGTAGGATGGTAGTCTTATGGTACCGTAGGAGGCTATGAAGCAGCCTGCGTTGCTTCATGTTCAGCCAGCCAGCATCAGTAAGCTTTGAAGAAACAGAATCGTATTTTCTTAAGCCAAAAATAAGCCTCAGATAAGAATTTTGCACGCGGTGTATTTTATCAGAGGTGAATTTAGTTAGACATTTATCATAGACGACATTACAGAAGTTAAAATGCGACAGAACAAGAGAATTGCATAGTATGACCTTAGTTTTTTGATTCATGTAAGATTTTTGACCGTATATCGTCTTTAAATTACAATACGTCCTTCTGGAGCACTTGTTAACATGATCCTCAAACCTTAAGTTTTTGTCAAGGTACATATAAGCCTAAATTACGCGCTATCGAGCTTATTTCTAAAGTATTGTTATCGAGGTTTATTTTCACCAGATGTTCACAATGGTCTCTCCAATTTTTCGGCCCGAATAACATGACTGTACTTTTAGCCGGATTCAAGTCTAAGCATATGTTTCGAGACGCTTTAGTGAGACGGTCATGGTCTTTATTTATCAGATCAACAGCAGGCAATGTTTGAGCTGGAGGAAATGATAAGTACACTTGTCATCTGCATAAAAATGAGCTTTACAAGAGTAAAGACTGAAGTATATATAGTCACTTTCAATTGCGTGGAGTACTTATCATTCAGCATTACCTGCTGTTGACGATCGCCGAAGTAGCTACGCATTAGGGACTCTGCATCGGCCGAAAAACCGTAAAAGTGGAGCATGGCTAAGAGTAGGTCATGATGTATCCTGTCAAATGCCTTCGTATAATCTAAGAGCACCAAGGCAGTCGGGTTACCTTTGTCAGCACTGCATAATACATCATCCACCACTCCCAGCAATGCTGTTGCACAGCTATGCACCGGACGGAACCCTGATTGTGTATCTATAATGAGGTTATTCGTTCTTAAGTATTCTCTTATCTGAACATCCATTATTGAGTCAAGCAATTCAGACAATGTTGGCAATATACTAATATTACGCAAATCCTTGAGCTCAGATGGCTGAGCAACTTTAGGCAAAGGCACAATCAAAGCGTGCTTCCAGCAAAAAGGAAAATAGCGATGCAATATGCATTCATTAATGATACGTGTAATGAAAGGAATAATTTTAG